AAACGAGGACTAGTCTCTCGAAGTGGTTCACTGCTTGGTACATGTACCATGAGTCAGGAGCAACTGCTATTAATGGGCTACAAACAGAAGAAAGGGCTTGATGACATGAAGGAGCTTTTGCATCTAGCTCTTCCAACCCAGTTAAACTGCCTGCTTTTCTTATCACATATTCAGAGCAGCAACAATAAAAATAAGACACGTTTCCAGAACTTTGGGAATCAAGTCTGAAAATGCGTTTTTATGGTTTCCCAGTTGACTGTTTCAATCAAAAAGCTTGCAGCATAATTGAATCCATTCCTGTGGCAGCCTCATGCAGTGCAGGGTCGGTCTCCAAGAACTGAGATGATGGTTGCTTTCTGCCTACTTCTGCAGCTCAGTGCAAAGACAGCCTTTTCAACCGCTCATCCCCTCTGCTTCGAGACTGATGGGTTGGCTGCAGGGTGTTGTGTGTGCATGAAAGCCCATTGCCTGAGTATAAACCTGTTTTCCACAGACATTATTTTAAGTCACATCATTTAAACATAAAGGTGGGCCACAAGTCCCTGCTCTGGTGACAGTGGAAGAGATATTTGTCAAAAGCAGAAAAGATGGAAATCACTTTTTAGCTTTGAAGAACAGGACCTGAAAGTTTAGTCGTTGTGGAGAGTAAAGTCAGAACCTGAGCCGATTTAATCTGCAGATCTGTCTCAGACGTCAGTCTAGAAGCTCCTTGTGTAGATGGAAACGCTGTGGATAGGAAAAAAGCTAGTCATCTTTATGATCCCTCGGTATTCTACGAGGGGTCCAGGTCTTTAACACATTTAGCTCTAAGTGATAAGTACTGTAGATAGACATATTCCTTTACTTGCCAGCGTGAAGTATTTGGCTGACAGTTGCACCCACAGTGTAGTTTCTTTGCAGCCTTTCTAACAGTTTGCTATCTAATAGTTTGTTGTTATTCTAGTAACATGTGCAGTCATTATTAAGAATTTCAGAATTCGTCTCATGGTAACCTACGACTCTTCTCTGTTCATCTAAGCACCTGAGCGTTTCCAGTCACTTGCGGTTTTATCCTTCTGTTACGCCCAGGCGACAAGGAAGGGTTGTCACTAGCACCACCAGGCAGCACGCAATCTAGTGACTTACCTGACGCCAAGCACAGAGTGAGGAGGTCTAAGCTGCAGGTGAGGTCCCAGCCGCCCGGCTCTGCCTGGGTACCAAGCACTCACAGGGGCATCTTGGCTCCGCTCAAGGTCTCCGACAGCACGGAACGGAGACCTGTTTCAGAAATTACCCTCCAGTTTCAGGAGAAATCCTAAAATTCAAGGAATCTAAGCGACAGCATGCAGAAGTATCTTTCACAAATATTTCATACCCCGATAACAAGCACATCTCCCTAATACGATCAACATGTTCTAGTTCACAGAGTACCTGAATCCAGGAGACCTGATACCCTCACTAAATAAAGGGTTGCTGTGCAGAGGGTTGTAATGAGGAGCGTAGTTCTTCCTATATTTGGCTACGATGGGATTCACACCAAACCTAGAAATCCCTCTTTTATTTCACAGATTATTTGTTACACACATGCAACAACTTCTGGTTTCAGCTCCCTGTTTCACTTTCTGCTTCCCTCCCCACCTTGGGAGAGGGCACTACGGCTGCCCTAGAAGCTGACCTAGGATAAGGGCAACGGAAGCACTGCTAATGCTGCACCACTTGGTATTAAAAACAGGAAAAAGCTGGTCAGCCAGAGTGAACCTAACCCTGTAGCCTAACAGGACGTTCTCCTGGTAAATTAAGCACTAGCCTGCAGCATGGGTAGACCTGGCTCCTAACTCTTCTAGTTGATTGCATTTTTTTAATGAAGCAGCTGTAGCATAAAATAATTAAGACCATAAAATACATAAGCGAACTCTTCTCACACTTGAATGCACTAATCGCTTTGTCATCTACTTTTGCATCTGAATTGGCTTAGGATAAGCCAAGAGTTGTCCCTCATGCACAGCAACTGAGGCAGCTGTGGACGTGCTCAGACCAGAATGCTACGTTGGATAATCAAAAAATGCAGTACCTGTGGAGTTCAGGCGCCCTAGGTTAGGGCAGCAGCCAGCAAGGCTACCCGCTACCACGGCCTGGGATGAAAGAGCCTAGATCCTTCTGCTTGAAACACCAACTCACTTTTCAGTGGAAGCGTTAGAGAAAATCTGACTGTTCTCCACGCTAGCCTGCCTTTTCTTGGTCAGTGTTTCAGGATGGATGTGGGTTTATCACACCATGCGGGCATGTCTCTGTGCTGCTAATGAAGGGTTTTGGTTCACAACCCTATCGACATTTCTAATTACTCAATAAACACGTATTCTTCCCATCTCTGCTTGACATGTGACACTGTCCATGAACACCTGGCCAGGGTGCTGAGGCTCGTTTCTGTTCTCTCACCAGTGTTTATTACCTCCGGCTTTCCAGCACTGCCTTATGCACTTGCTATTATCCAGAATTTATATGCTACCTTGCAGCTACATCACTTGTTTGCCTGACAGCACTCAGTGTAATTTCCAGTAACCTAGAAATATGCTTATTCCAAGCTATACTGTTACCTACCAAATGGAAATTAAGCCATGGGTTGCCTTTGCCCTTGTGTGTGTCAAATAAAACATGCCAGCATTACTTTTTCTCCTTTGTCTTGAGGCTATAACACTTCATCCCCTTTCACTGAAAGCCCCTAGGTATCCATTAATTGTTCCCCAAATCAACAGCTATGCAAAAGGCTTAGATCAGGCTCAGCGTACTTCCAGCCAAGGCATACAACAAACCGTCCCCTCCGTATCTGCCTGCACCACCCATTTGGCCAAAGGGGTAGGTAACGTTACGCAGCGCAGCCTCCCTCTCCTCTTATCCCAGAAAGGAGAACAACCAATGGGAATGCAAAGGCAGGTCTCCTTATGGCAATGCAAAGCCCTGGCCCATTTATTTTCTATGGGCTTTCCATGTATTTTACAGATGATTTGATATGTTAAAATGCTCAAAGGGCTTATAAAATAATACTGTTTTCGTTGCAGCAAGGCGTGCTCTCTACCTTTCTATATGCCAAGATTGGGAAAGCACTGAGTGCCAAAACACTGAAAATTTTGCTGTATGTTGCTAAATACCATACTTAAAAGTTTTTGTCTCGTATGAAATAACATAATTTTTGGCAGTCTCTAGCTAGGTACCTTGGAACGCTGTAGAACAGACATAGCAGAATATACATTCGTGCATTTTCCTTACAACGGCTACAAAACTCTCAGTGCTTTCTTGGAACATGGAAATACATAGAAAACCAGTGACGAAGAAAAGCAAGGTGTGCCTAACGTGGATAAACTATTCAAGACAACATACTTATGTAAAAGTATCCCCTAAGAAGCTGCCAAGACCAGTGCCGGCCCAGCTCCCTAGCTTCCCAGGTACCTATGCTGCACATGTGGCTTCGCTTTGCACACCTGGTTACAAACCCAAGGGTACTAAAGCGAGCCGTTTCGGTTAACTGCCTCATTTGCCCCTGCAGGTCTCTGACCCTCTGGCCCCACAGATGCTATGACCTGCACCAGAAATCTAGAGGCAGAATCAAAACAGCCTGCATACACACTATGGGAGAGAACTTCTCCATTTCTAATCACAGACATGCTCCCTCAGAGGGGGATCCTTTTCATTGCTTAAGCATAGCGACAATGCAAACTCTGCGAAGGCGTCAGCCCAGCCCCTGAGCGCTCTGGTTCTGCACAGCAAATCCCATGCCGCAGACAGTCCCACGTTCCACCTTGGCCTCTTATGGTCAATCTTTTAAATACATTATTATTATACTTAAGGTACGGGACAGTATATTCAAAGCACTGTTTGGCTGTGCACTTCCTCTGCTATTTGTACTGCAGCAACTGGCAGCCAAACCAAAAGCAGCATGGCACGTGGCTTGGCCTGGAGAGCCTGTGAGATGAAGCCACAGCTTCACTTTCTAAAGATCAGTTATTAGAGTACGAAAAATTATATTTTCTCCTATAAAGCTCTAGTGCTGATGAAGAGCCCTTTTCTGCACTGGAATATGTACTAAACCAAGGTTAGTTCACCCAACTTTCTTCCTGCTGTATCTATAGGTGTCTTGCTCCTATAAAATACTGCAGTGGAGTAGCTGGCAACCACCAGGTATGCTTGGGTAGTTAGTGTAAATTAAGCTTTTCTTCAGCAGTGAAGAAAATGATCTAAGATAATGCTGAAACAAGAGACAAACATAGAGAAATGAAGTGACTCTAGCCATCAAAGTGCAGTTGTAGGTGTGCATGGAGGAAAGGAAGACAGTGCTAAAAATAGTCCTCCGTGCTAACGCTGTGAGACTCAGGTTATAACTCAAATCTGAGACTCCTACATGAGATGTGTGTGTTGGACACGTACTTAACTCGAATATGTACTTAGCCTCGAATACAGCTCTCTTATAAGTAGCAAGGAGGTGTCACAATGGTGGGATTAAAACCCCAACTAGAGTTGCACGTACTACCGCTGGAAACACCCAACCTAGAAGACGAGATGTAGTTTGCATCATGGTCTTGAGGTTGAATTCCTTAGGAAGAAAGGGAGAGACTTCATTTCAAAGCTGTGGATCCCTCTGGAGGGCACGAGCTGACACCTTCCTTCTCTTTCCAGTCATCTCATTGAGTCTGGTATCTGGATCATGAAGCGAGACACAAAGCCCACTGGCAGGAAGAGGATTTCAGTTTTCAACATGCTGTAGATCAACAAGGGAACATAAATCCTTTCTGTTCTGCCTACCCTCTCTGCACAACCGTGCACAGATGCAGAATGGCATGCCAGCTCTGCAGTGTCACCCAGCCTAATCTTGGTACTGCACAAAAAGTCTGCAGGCTCATCCACTGTTGAGATCCATGGAAGATGTTAATTTTGCTAGCCACAAGCCTTGTATTGGACAGCGAAATCACAAATAGAGTCTCTTGATAGCAGAGCAATAGCAGTAAAAAGTATTTCAAAAGCTGTATTTATTCACCTGTAGTCTGACTTTGCAGCTGAAACCAAGTCACGCATCTGTGCATTTATGACAATACCCACCTTTACGAACCACCATGAAATGCTCCCCAAACCACAAGCGGAGACCCATAGCTCCCGACTCACTGCTCATTTCTTCCCTTTTTTAAATAGGCTTTTCAATGAAAAGCATAACAATTGAAAGATCATACCTTCACAAAGAAGCATCTAGCCAGATGAACTGCCCAAAATCAAGGACACTGACATGTCATTTCCAAATCTTACTAGTCAATAAAAAGCCATTGATAGTCAGTATTAAAACCACTGCCTAGACTCCATTATTCATCACATTTCTGACACAGTAATTTTCAAATAGTAGGCCTTCGGTTCTTATTATCTTAAAAAAAACCTCCCAAAATATGTTTTACAAGGATTTTTCTACTCCCCAGTGATACTTGAAAGTGCTTGGGCCTGTCTTAGGATATGTGCACTGCATTTATGCTACATAGATTACATAGAACTACACAGATTAGAGGGAGAAATCATTAGGTTCAAGCAATAGCTCATGCAGTCATCTGAGACTGCACAGGAGCCGCTACAAACATAAGAATCAAAGCCATTCCACTTGTGAGAGCCTACCCATTTTCCCACTCCTAACCTTTCCTCCCCATACATGTGCCTATCTGCAGACTCTTTCTTTTCCGCCTTCTTGTGCATGCTACTCGTAAACCTCTATACAGACCTGAGAAAGAGACAGGCACGTGCATTCTGCCTGAACGTAACACAGAGATGATAAAGACAACTGCCTATGCACAAAGAACAGACCCTTGTCTATGGGGAAGAACACATTCCTGTCCCAAACTCCTTCAGATAACCAGTATTAAAGGCTCCTAACAACAGGCCTGCGATGCCTTCAGACAGCAAGATAATATTTTAGCGGTGACATTATCTGTGTACGCACCTTATGACTGGACCCCACAATCCCAAAGGTAGGGCACAGGAACCACATGCTGTCTTTGCAACTTGCATGACATATTTTTCATGATTTCTGGTGTCAAGATTTATATGCAGCTATTTTAGGAAGCTTATTTCTTAACTTTCAAAATGATAGACAAATAGTATCTAAAAACAAAACCAAACAATCAATCCTACATGTAGAAGAAATCAATACTTGCCCTGAAAGCTATGTATCTTATGCAGTGTGAATCTACAGTAAATTCCCCTTAGTTGATTAAAAGAAAATCCAGCACAGTCATTAATTTATTCTCATTCCATGATTAAATCCGTATCGTGCCTTCATTAGCAAAAATTACAGATGCGGATAAAACAGCTGCCCCAAACATATCCTGCTAGAGTACTTGCCCATTAAAATTTGCCTTTATTAACCCTAACTGATCCCAGATTTGTTACAAAAGTGCCATACCTTTTGTACTGAGCTTGGTATCAGTAGTGTACTTTGAATCCTTTGAACAACTCCATCAAAAATACACTATGTCTGACATTTAATAGCATTCCTGTTGGCTGCTGGAAGCCTTTGGGGCAGATGGAATACATTGTACTACAATAGTTACTAAGATGATGACAAGATCTTGGTTTTGGCACTTAAATTAGGAAAATGAGCCTAATGAAATACGCAAAGAACTCTATTCACTGGACCTAAGCTTCCTCACCACTGCGGTTAGGCTATTCTTCCAAAGCAACCACTATTGTCCCGTTGTACAAAAAGATGTATAGAATTTAGGATTCCTGCCTTGAAGACATCATCGGACTGATAACAGAGGGAGGATCCACCACAGCGCACACCGTTTCTGCCGCATTTCTTACCCTGGGGAACTGCTAGAAATATTTCTTGACCGTTAGAGACCTCCTGAACCCCGCTCAGACTCGAAACTGTGAAGAGCAGTCCTCTGAACAAACGTCACCTTCTTCCATGAAACGAAAACTCATTTCCTAATAGGACCTCCTGGATGCTTGAAATAACATGCTTACTGTCACCTGCAAACGGCTGTCAAGGCATAAGGAAATATTGCTTTCCATCCTTTCAAGCAATAGCAGGATTCTGCAAAACCAGAAGAAATGAAGGCAAGGAAATTTAAAAAAGAAAAGGATCACACACAGAAGGAAAAAAAATGGAGTGAATAGTTACGCCTTGTACTCTTTGGGGTTTATGCAGCTAAAATCTGTCCTGAAAAATTCACTGGAAAAGCAGATGTTCGTTATTGGCTCTCAAGACGTTACTATATAGCAAACTAATAATGAAAGAGGTATGTGTCACCTACTAGTGATATTATAACATCGCACCTTTATATATTCCTGGAATCGGTGGAAATAACTGGCAAAGCATGCATACATTCAGGCAAGTGAGATTTTGTAAAAACACTCAATAGATCAACTCTTTTCCCCCAGAGGGAGGCTATTTCAGTGGAAACAGAACTACGCTGAGTCTGAGAACTTCTGAAAATCTGAATTTAACGCGCTGTTTCTGTTTTGCAAGTGCTACAGCTTTTATATTCATTTCCGTCCTTATTTAACTAAATATTGGTTTTGGATAATGCTGTTACATTCATGTTTACCTAAGAAAAAAATAAAAGATCCAGCAGTTAATAGCTTGTTCCCATTATACCACACAACAGAGAAAAGAGATTTCTGCTTTATAAAATACATTTGCCTCTACTGATGACCAGTTATCAAAATAAAAATTAAAAAACACATAATCTTTGCATTCCAAATGCAAAAAGCATTCAGTTGTATTAGTCATAAAAATCAGAATGCCTTGTTTTCCTCTCACTTACAAACTCGCAGCTTCCCAAAACAAATAAGGTTGTAGCAAGGACAAAATTTACAGGCAAGTTATGCAAAGTTGAAATGTTCCTAGGGCAACATTTTACAGTCCCTTGGAGTTCCATACACAGTGTTTTACTGTGCACTCAGAGAGTATTTATTTACACACGTGTCTGAGGTTTTTTGTCAGGTTTTCTTTAAAGTCCAGGCTTTTCTTTTCTCAACTAATCTAATTTATCCAAGATGGATGGTTCCACTTTTTTTCTTTGGAAAACCAAGGCTGTTACACTGTTTCCAATTCTTCCTCCAAAGCAAAACTTGGGTGTTGGCAGCTCCTCCAGAATTTCAAATCCTGCCAGACAGAAATTAAAATGCTTTTATTAGAAGGAAGTAATTTTATTCTCCTCTTGGATAACCCTTTGCAAACCATTCTTTTATTGGTCTGGAAAACTTGCAAGTCAGTTACTTTCTAAGTTTATAGGACTGTATTGTTACACTGCATTGCTGCTTTATATAGCTGAAACCCTTCCACGGATAATAAAAATCTCAGCTGGCTGAATCACACAAATTAACGGCAGAAAAGATAACTCGCCAGTAATTTTAGCTCCTCAGAAGGGATGGTTGTGTTAGATCCACACTCTTGAGTTTCAGGCATGAGATTCAGGAGCTGACCAGCATGTTAAAAAAAACCCTCAGAGCGGATCAGAAAGGTCACTGAGCAGGTGACCTAGCAGGTCACAGTCCAGACTTGCCAGTTCCCCTAAATATAAGAAACAACGTTACCCCAATTTCAACATGAATTGGGTGGGCGAACTGGGTCTGTTAATAAAGGACCAAAAGAGAAAGAAAAAAAAAAAAAAAACACGGGAATATAGAATTCCCTACTTTCCCAGCGTAACTAGTCTGAAATTTTTGTTGTCCGAAGTAGAACACAACCTGTGCTCCTTTGACACATCGGCACTGGCAAATAAAGAAGCTGTAGTTCTTGGGGAAAAAAAAAAAACATGCTGAAGATAGGCCGAGGCATTTATTAGTCTTGTTACCACCAGCTTGTCTAAGCCTGATTTGATAAAAGTAAATATGTTAACACTGGGACATTAAAATTTACCTACTGTACCCTTGAAGGTCCACAAGTTAGTAGATGACTCTGTTCAACGGCTTACCTTCTCTGAACTCATTCAGTAACTCCTCCTTGGTCCAGTTACAAGATGTTATGAGGAAAAAGCCTTCTGGTTTCAACACACTGCAGAGAGATCTCACATACTGCTTCCTCTTTCCAACCGCATTCTCAGGATTAAGGCTTATGGCATCAAAAGTCCCCTTGTCAATACAAATTTGAAATCCTGACAGCTCAGCTGATAGAGCCAGGAAGTCTTCTACCTAAACCAGAAGTCTAAAACTGTGAAAACAATCTTACACTCAGGAGCCCCTGAATCTTTAATGCAAACCAACACTTTATAACAGAAAGCCTTCAACCTGACAATAGGTATGTTTAGGGGAGGGTAACTCAAGAGACTTTTTGCATTATAATGCCACGTTTATCTTCTTTGTCCTCTGTGAATTACATAATAATTTATTTGCTGTAAAGCCGATGTACATATCTGTCCCTCTAAAGCTCAAGCTAACATATTTGGAAGTTCATTCTTTCAATCATTATTTGTATTTTGATCCCTGGTTTCCCAGGCTCTACCAGCGTGCCAGGCACTGTACAAACACAAAACAAAAGACAGCGCCCGCCACAAAGACATTACAGTCGACATATAAGAAACGAGACATCACGCAGGTAGAGCTGTAGGGGAAAACAACACAGCAGAGACAGAATGCTCAGTAGGAAAGGCAGTTCACTCAAACTTCCCGCTGTATAACTACTGGTAGGCATTCTTTCAGTTAAGAGTTTAATATTTTATCTCAAATCCAAAATGTAGAATGTATTAAGTAAATCACAGAACCCGTCAAATCCACAAATCCACTCGACAATCCACCGTTCTGCCCCCTCCTAGAAGCAGGGCAATCTTTTCAGCCCTAACAGCTATTGTGAACAGAAAAAAAATAGACCAAGAGATCTTCTTGTACACACAGATTTATTAACAAGCTTTGTTTAGAGTCCTCCCATGAGGTCTAAAATACAAATGAATTTCAAGAGACACTGCTAATATAGTCCAGTGAAAGCATTTGCATAGCAAGTAGGTCACTGAACCTTGGGTTCAACTCCTTTCTATTTCCTTAACATACTTTCTCTCAGCACTTACCTGGAATTTAATGTTAGACATCCCTTCTTTCTCTTTTACTTTTTCTGAAAGTTGTATTGCAGAAGGAGAGTAATCAATCCCAGTGAGATTAGTGTAACCAGATTTTGCCTAGACAGAAGTAGAGAATCTTAATCAGCGTGCCAGCAAACTATATTTAGTCAAAAAGTGTATTCCCTCTCTGTAATCCATGTCACCGCTCTT